ATTTTGTCTTGCTGTTGATGATCTGATGTCGTACTCTCTCTCTCTCTCTCTCTCTCTCTCTCTCTCTCTCTCTCTCTCTCTCTCTCTCTCTCTCTCTCTCTCTCTCTCTCTCTCTCTCTCTCTGTGATCGATAGTACTGTTGTCCACATACCTTTTTTTTATTTGCGTCTATCTAATTTTGAATCGTAAGAACTACATCCATGGGTTGTAATATAAACATTAATTCACAATAAATATGACATTCATTCAGAATTATTTTAACTTCCAAAACTATAGTATTTTATTCGAAATAAGACTAAAATATTATAGTAATAATCAATATAGTATATAGTATAGACTGAAACAAAAGCTTGTTTTACAAACACATTATGAGCCGGAAAAAAAAACTCATAATCCATTTCTAAAAGATTTTGCAAAAACCACCTAACATTTATTAGAGTAAATACCGGATCCTAAGATATAAATAAATTAAAAATAACAAATTGTAAATCTATAAATATAAGTAACAATCTATATGATAAATCTATGATGCACGGAAATTTCAACCGACACGCGTTTCCATGTTTCGGAAACCGAAACTCCATAACACCTAACGAAAACATTTCTGGGGCGTTTCCATAAATATTTAAAAGTTTCGGGGACGTTTATGATAATAATAAAAAATTGGAAATGTGTTTCCACTTTCCACACATAAATAAATTCAAAATTCATTTTAAATAAAATCTCCGAATTGCATACGCTTAAAAAAAATCTTAAATATTATGTCACCTTTTCACTTCTAGTGGTGTTTTAATATTTTTGTAGATGTTAATTCCATACTAAATTAACTTTATACGACCCGGATGTAATTTATGAAATGATATTAAACATTCTAATATTTGTTAGAAATTATGAATGCACTCCTATATTTTTATTATTTACGCGTTTCCCCCACATTCCCGTATCCAACTTTTTGGAAAATAGAGTTTTTCCGTGTCCGTTTCCCTCGTTTCCCGTGTCCATGCTACATAGCGATAAAGACAATATAAAATTTGTTGCAATGAGCGATTAATGTCCATGAGTCGCTAACACTTATTCTTGTTACTCATAAATTAACACATCTATTAATATAGATTTAATATTGATTCACACATAACATAACCATACACATAAAGTGACATTAATTCAAATATTGTTTGAATCACCGATATTGGAAAATTACCAACGAATATGTATATCTATTACTGTATTGACACAAGCATGAATTAAATTCCTTTATGGTTTATGTACTAAGTATATATACTAATACGAAAAATAAAATGTAAAAAAAAAAAAAAAGAATGGCCTATAAAATGTATAACTCGAATAGAAAACATCTTTGATATATGTTGGTAAACAAAATTGTATATTCAATAAAACGCCTAAACAATAAGTACAAAGAAATATGAAAGCATCAACACAATTGCAAATCCATTTTTTCTTGCGTTGGTTTAATTGCAAACCAAATCAAACACACTAAATTAAATCAAATTGTAAATACCCAAATCAATCTTGACGAATGAGATGTCTTCAGCAATTTTTATAATCTCTACTAATATGAAATTATCCATAAATTAATTGATTTATTGAGAATCCGTCGAACTTGGGTGATGCAAATTACTCGATATCTTGCGTTCCGTCTTGACGCCTGTAAATTTTACTCCGAGCAATGGTGTGCGCGAAGGTGGATGGCAAATGGCGGTGACAGTGGGGTTAATTCCAAAAAATGAAAGAGAAAGAGGAAAAATGAATACACTTGCACGGGCTGGTGGAGGAAGACAAGGATCTGTAAGGACCATGCCGAACGCGACGATGTGGGGCAGCTGCAGCAGAGTGATGGCGGTGGCGCAGAGGCGGAAGAGGAAAGATTTGTGGAGAGAAAAGAGAGGGAGGAGGAAAAGACGTGATTAGGGTTTTAGAAGAAGAAATAAATTTATAAGGCTGCGGCTATATGCAAGACTAAAATCACTTGTGCAAGATCGAATTAAATTTTTCATGTATAAATACTATAATACCCTTACTTGTTAAAAAATAGAAAATTCCAAATATGCAAGACCAAAAATTCAAAAACACAAAAATCCCTATCACAAGACCACAAGACCAACTCTCATCTTCTCCATCTTCCAAAACCCACAAGACCTTTCTCCTTGCTCCTCCATAAACCCACAAAAGCTAAACATGCAAAATCATCAAAACTCAACAAATCTTACAAATATGGCAAGTATGGAGTTAGAAGACATCAAAATAGAAGATTCTACGGTGGAAGAACCCAAGAAGGTATGCATTTATGGGTTTTTTTAGCTAGAATATCGTTTTTCCAAAAAAAATCCCGCGCAAACAAATTCGACATGTACAGGTCGAATTTTATGGGTAAAAATCGACATATGTCGATTTTTAGGCATAAAATTCGACATTTGGCAATGTCGAATTTTGTGCTATAAATTCGACATGTCAATGTCGATTTTTGCCTATAAAATTCGACGATTAAGTGTCGATTTCTAGCACAGTTTTTCGACACCTTGGTGTCGATTTTTACTAGTTTCAGATTTAATTTATTTTTCCTCTTTTTTTGTAAGGTTGGGCGGCGGCGATCGGTGGTAGAGCTTGGGCGGCGGAGCTTTGACGGCGGAGAAGGTGGGCGTAGGTGGAGAAGGTGGGCGTAGGTAAGGTTTGAGGAGGGGGGCTCTTTTTTTTGTTTTTTTTTTTCCTCATTATTTGTATTTGGTCTTGCATGAGAAGAAAAAAAACCAATTTAATTTATGGGTATATTTGTCATTTCATCTTAATAAAATAGAATCTTTTGGAATCTTTCTTTAATTTAGTCTTGCACAAGTGGTTTTAGTATTACATATAGCTAGCCGCAGTCTATATATTATTGATTTAAGGGTAAATTAGGATGAATAATTTATATTTTATTAAATATTTATTCAATTAAATAATTAGGGGGTCTCACTAATAATGAAAAGGGGCTGAAATCCATCCTTATTTATCCATATAAGTTGGGGGTTTTTTTCACTAGTAATCTCTAAATTTGTTGAAAGAAGAAATAGTAGTATCATAATTGCATAATTTATGGACATTATATGTAGAATGATCTGCATTATCAAGATTAATATCATTTATGACAATTTTAAATGACAAATAGGCCCATGAAAATGGCACTTAATTCAAAAAAGGACATCCATTTTTTTTGTCTTGCAAATATTTTCAACTTATTTAAACTTAATTGCAAACAAGGAAAACCTTTTCATATATACCAAAATTACCCCCAATTCATTCGAACCCAATTCAACTCCAATTTCATTATTTACACCTCAATTTAGCCCAATTTTACCAATTAACCAATTTTGACCATAATTTCAATTTTGACACCAATTTTGACAAGCCACCACCGGAGACCGCCAGTCTCCGGCGTTGACTTTTTTTTTTTTTTTTTTTTGAAAACTTTTTTTTTTCTGAAATTTTTTTTCTGGTAGGTCAACCGCCGTTGACCGTCGGGTGTCCGGCGTTGACTTTTTTTTTCTTTTCCTTTTTTTAATTTTGTTTTTTTCTTAAAAAAAATATTTTAATTAATACTAATGTCTTGGCTGCTAAATTACTGTCTCCAGCAGTAATTTAATTGTCGGAGATGGTAATTTAACTATTAATTGACATTTTTTTTTAGATATTTTAATTAATATTATTGTCTTGGCTGCTAAATTACTGTCTACAGCAGTTATTTAATTGTCGGAGACAGTAATTTAATTGTTAATTAACTTTTTTTTTTAATATTTCAATTAATATTACTGTCTTCGTTGCTAAATTATTGTGTCCAGCAGTTATTTAACTGTCGGTGACAGTAATTTAACTGTTAATTGACTTCTTCTTTTTTTTTTTTTTTTGAAATTTTGTATTTTCTTAAAAAAAATTATTTTAATTAATATTACTGTCTAGGCAACAGTAATTTAGATGTCTAAGATAGTAATATTACTGTATTAATTAATTTTATCGTCTTGGCCTGCATTTTCGCTGTCTTCGACTGTAATATTACTGTCTTCGACCGTAATATTACTGTCTCTTGCAATAATATTATTGTTTGAGACAGTAATAATAATAATATTATTGTTCGGGAAAATAATATTCATAATATTACTTATTCCCAAACAGTAATATTATACAGGTCTGATACAATAATTTAGCAGTCAAGGACAGTAATAATTAATTAAAAATTTTTTCCTTAAAAAAAATAAAATTTCAAAAAAAAAAA